GCCCCAAGCACAGCTGTGCTCCTGCTCCTAAGACGCGCTGGGGCCTGCTGGCCAGGCCTCCGGACGGGTGCACGTGCGTGGGCTTGTGACCTCCATGCTGGCCCGGGGCACCTCGCGCTGCAGTCGGCCGGCTCGGTGAGGTCACTGCTGTATAGACTCACGGGGACCCGAGTGACCGCCGAGGAGTGCGGCACACACACCAGGAACATCTCCTTCTGAGCTTAGGCCCCGGGCTGCTTCCCTGCCCCTCCACGGCTCACTGCTGAAGACAGACCATGGTCTCCCCCCTGGGAGGCACAGGGCTGCGGCTCTGAGTAGCTTCGCATGCCACTGCTGGTCCCAGGCCGGCTGCACCCCCAGAAGCCGCCCCGTCTGGCCATCCGCGCTCAGGGCCCGCCCGGCACAATAGGCGCCACAGCTCCCTGCCTCCCCGGGCCCAGCACCTCAGGGACGGCCCGCGTGTCCTCCGCCATCGTGGACATGTGGGCTGTTTGTGCCTTTCGCTGTTGGAATGAGGCTGCAGGTGGCTGTGACACTTCACTGTGCCTCTCTGCGGGTCCCCGCCTGCTAGAACTCGGCCGGCCTGGATGGGGTCCGGGAGTCCCCGAGACGGCTCTCATCACCGGCAGCACCCCCACTCCTCGTCGTGCCCCAGTCCCTCGGGGCAAGGACGCTGAGCTGGGCCACCGGCACAGGTGTGTCGGGTGTGTCAGGGGTGTCAGCTCTGGGCTCCCCATTCCTCTCACAGGTGTCCCCAGGCTGGCGGGCCGGGCCCTGGGTCTCATCACCATGATTGTCCCCTTCCTCAGAGAGGCCCGTCCATGTCACCCTGTCCTCCAGGGGACAGGACCAGACACCTGGCTCTTTTCCCGCTTGGAGGGAGAGCCGAGGAAGCCCTCGTGGTGGGCGAGGAGTGGGCAGGGCGCCGCGATGTGTGCCAGGACCCCCCGCACCAGCTCTCGGGGACATGGACCCTTCTCACCCACCAGACCTCGAACCTGGTCTCATCCTGTCCCAGAGCCCTCAGCAGGCGGTCACGGGGGAGGGCCCAGCCAACTGAGGACCTGGACTGTGGAGGAGGGGACTGGAACAGAGATTCAGACCGGCCTAGGGCCCGGGGCATGCTCTCTAGCCCTCCGACCTGTGAGCCCTGTGGGGCCCTGCCCTCCTGGGGCCTGGCTGAGAGGGGCTGTCTCCTGCCCATTCTGGGCGAGGGCCACAGAACTGGATGCTGGGAAGCAGGGCAGGTCAGTGGGTGCCCAGCATGGAGCCCTGGGATCCCCTGAGCCCGGGGGGAGCTGCCCCAGGTGCTGGGCAGCCCTGGGGAGGTGCCTGGGGCTGCCCTCTCTTGAGGAGCCAGGGCTGGTCCTCCCTGGGGCCACTGTGTCCTCATCTGACCCGATGGAGCCAGGCAGGGGCACGCATCAGGGCCAGCCCTGCCCCCGGGGAGCTGATGCCCGCCTCCCCGCTCACGGCGGGCCTC